GCCGGCCCTGGGTCACACAATGGGTACACCCGAGGATTCCCCACGAATGGGGTGTACACACTTAAACTCCAAATGGAAGGTGTCTAATCTATCGAGTAACAACGATGATTCCTCGAGTAGACAACTGATGGATTCGAGTGGGTGTGGTCTGCGCTCGCGATGCACACGGCTTCCCTTAGCAGCGAAACACTTACCCTAAAAAACAATACACAAACACGCATCAAAACCAGGTGGGCCAAAAGGCGCTTTGCATCACACGAAATTCACAGGTACTCGAGGTGAACCAGCCTCTATAATCACAGGACTCGTGCGCGTCTTCGTTGGATTACCGACCGCAACAGGTTCCCCAAGCATCCCCCTTGCGTAAATGAAAACCTAAGTTGGTGAACAGGGTTATTCTGTCAAAAAGGATCTCCGCAAAAACACACACACGCACACACACGCACACACACACGCACCCACGCACCCACGCACCCACGCACCCACGCACCCACGCAAAAGCACCCACGCACCCACGCACCCACGCACCCACGCACCCACGCACCCACGCACCCACGCACCCACGCACCCACGCACCCACGCACCCACGCACCCACGCACCCACGCACCCACGCACCCACGCACCCGCGCACCCGCGCACCCGCGCACGCGCGCACGCGCGCACACGCGCACGCGCACGCGCACGCGCACGCGCACGCGCACGCACACGCACACGCACACGCACACGCACACGCAGGCACACAGGCACACACACACACACAAACACACAAACACACAAACACACACACACATCTATATATATATATATACATATATCATATATATATATATGTGTGAGTATGAACGTCCCCTTGACTTGCGAACTCCGTATTTCTGCACAAGCTGTCCCTTTGGTCGCGCGGACCCCGAGTGTGGCGAGGAGGCGGATCGGAAGCTGCAGATCACGCGCATGAGCAACCCCAAGATGGTGCAGGCACTTTCGTGATTGGTTGGTGTTCAAGTTTGAAGCGCCGTCTTGTTTGGCTTTGAGTTGGATCCTTGAGGCTCTTGACCCGCATCCTGGCTTCCCATTGGACAGAGGCTGTTTCTTGCAACTTTGGACCCCAGATTCGCTGAACTTAGGGTCACAAGGCTGGAAGCGCGGCTACTTCAAACAGGCTGTGTTCGGGCGCTCAAATCGGCATCCAAGCAATTCTAAGGGTATCGAATCACTGCACATGTTGGAGGTTGTGTGGTTTTGATTGGTTGCCACTGAGCACTGCTGTCAGCATCGAAGACAGGATCTCAGATGCTTGCGGGCAAGTTCCCCATTTTGCTGTCGAGGGCTTCAGCGCCATTCTGAGCGAACCAGCTTGGCTTGAACAGACGACAAGCTGAACACCCGCGACACGGAGTCAAAGAGACAAAACCATATGACAGGTAAATACGCATTTGCCAGCCAAACGGTGATGCGGTTTGCGAACAGTATCCAACTGCCAGGAAGCTCCTGTAAGCTTCTTGTTGCTACCCAGGCTTCTCTTCACAAGATCACCTCCTCACCGGCACCTTGCTGTATCAAGACATGTGGGCCCATGGATTCCGGTAAAACCCTTCAAGGGGAGTTTGCCAGGTCTTCGAGCAATCCATCGAGGCGGGGCGCAGCGTGCTGGTGGAGAACATGGGCGAGTCGGTGGACGCAGTGCTGCAGTGGCTGGGCTCAGCGTTTTTTGCTTTTGGACCCCAAGGTCTCCATTTTTGGATTCGCGAAACCCAACCATTGCCAGACGTTTGCCTTTGGGGTTTCACTTTTTGCCTTTTTGGTGTTCCCTTTTTTATCAAACCGGCAAAAAGGTCGACTTTTTCGAGCACAGGCCAGTCATCGCTCGCAACACCATGAAGCGCGGTAGCACGCGGGTCCTGAAGCTCGGGGACAAGGACGGAACCGTCAGTGAGGCGTCCAGAGTTGCACGGCGGAGGTGGCCCCGCTTTGGCTTGTTTGACATGTCTGCTCCAGCCGGATGAAAAAGGAATAACTATTTGTTCTCTCAATAAATCAATTTTGGAGGGCGCAAAGTCTGAGGTTTTGGCAACAGTGTCATGGGAGCACCTGCCAATCGAAGCCTGCTTTCCACCCTTCGCAAGCGAAGCTTCCACATGTTGTCATCCATTAGCTTGAGAGTATGTGGGATATTCCTCGGGTTCCAAGGGAATCTATGACTTCTGGAAATATCTGTGTGCTTTTTCAGGGGAGAGAGCCACGAGCATGGTTTCACGTTCGTCTACATGGCTGTTGGTTGGTCACAGCGTCTCCGATCCTATTTCGGCATTTGCCACGGGCGGAACAGACCCTAGGAACAACCAATTCTTAAGGGTTCCTTCAGAAGCATATGGCCATGTCCGGCTGCTTCCTGTGGGGGTCGTTCGCTGTCGGCCGCGGAAAGCGACGAAGTCGCAAGGAGATCACGTATAACGCCAACTTCCGGCTTTTTATGCAGACGAAGCTGTCGAACCCGCACTACCCTCCAGAGATCCAGGCCTGGGTCTCCAGAGTGTGAGGAGAATCAACCTTGGGTTGTCCCCGGTAGGATGTTTTTTTAAGGTTGGGTTGGCTGACCATGACATATTTATTGTTTGCGTGCCGTGGGTTTGGGCTCAGTTGCTTGCAGCGAGGCCATGACTTAGGCCTTGGCAGCGCTCGACTCTCGCCCAGCAACCGGTAAGCCCTCAGAACGTGTTCTTGGATGTGCTCCAACACTTCGGTAGGGCCGTAGAACGTGTTTCGGCAAGGCTTCAAAAGGCCTTGGTAGGGGCCTCGGGAAGGCCTCGAATCGCCGTTGCGGCCAACCAATAAAAACTGCAAATCTCAGCAAGCAAAACCCGTAAATCTTGGCAAGCTTGCCGAGGGCTCTCTCAAGGGGGAGGGCTCGCATGGTTGCCACGGACATGGCAAGAGTAGTGGGCTACAGAGCGCCTGATTGTTGGCTGCACTACTTATGCCTATCTCTGGTTGCCTTAGTAGGGATTGCTTTTCTCATGCTTCTGATTTGGCATTTGGCACCTTGTTTTGACTTGCCTGCTTCACATGGCAAGCAGTCTGCCCATGCCATTTTCCAAACGAACCACTTTCCTGCCTTAGAATGCCAAGTAGCGGCATGATTTTCAAGATCCCTAGGACGTCGATTTAACACCCGATTAGGGGTTTCGCTGGGCGCCAGTGTGGCCCTCCTCCCCAAAAGCCAAAGCTTGGAGCTGTCGCAGTGGCATCTCCCCTCACACGTCCTCAGGCGCGAACCTGAAGAAAGTTGGCTGTTCCGCCAGGCCGAGTGTACGGTTATCAACTTTACCGTCACAGAGCAGGGCTTGCAGGAGGGGGCCCGGTCAAACTGCCGGACTGGGAGGAATGTGAAATCGAACAGGTTTTGGCTTTGCCTACGGTATTGGTGAGTGGCTGCACTTGTGCGCAAGCGTGGGTGGTAGACTGAGGTTTATTGTTTGGGACAGCGGTTGGAGTGAATTACCCAGGCGGCTGGGATGTATGGACAGGCCAAAAGAGCCTTGACACCTTTGCAAGTGTTTCTCATTTTGAGAACCACCCAAGTCAGCAGGAAATACATGAAGAGGTTGGGACTGCCATAGATACACAGGTTATCACGTTTGAAAAGACCTTTAACTGGGTTGCTTCTTGGCGGCTTCCCCACATTCCTTCGGCACGCAAACGGTGTTCCTCCTAATTTAACGCATGCTTGTTTTTGCCGAAAACAGTTGGCAGACCCCCCCCCCCGACCTTCAAATCAATTTGCTGAGTCTGCAAGCCTGCTAGGTGGTCTTACCGGGACAGAGTGAGTCTTTGTTTCAATGGGCCCTTGATTTCCCAATGTTTTTGTTGCCAGGATGTGTTTGCAATGTGGTCAAGGCGATTGCTATAGTATAGGTACTTTGGATCCCTTAGCCTTTGACGAAAGAAGATGTCTTCGGCTTCGGGTCAATGGAATTGTGTGGTTTTCCAATTCTGCCCAGGAAGATGTTGGGATAATGCGCATGAAGGGTTAAACATGGTGAATTCCAAACACGGTTCCGAAGTTGATTTATTTTGTTCAAGTTGGTTTCTGAGGGTCACAGGGCAACTGGGCTACTGCCTGCACAATTGCATGGAACCCCACAACACCTGTTTGTAGAGAAATATATTTTTGGCGGACCCCCTTTGTGGGTGCCATGGCAACTTGTAGGGGCGGGTAATGCTTCGAACCTTCAGCGATGTGAAGCCGCACAAGTCTTACCTGAGACACCCTGGATTGAGAGTTGTTCTGTTCAGCCGGTCACCAGGCCAACAGAAGACCGCAAGTTGTCGGGTCAACTTCAAGTGGAAAAGACCAGATCCTTTGGATGTTTGGGATGTTGACCCTTTTGCTGGTTCTGTCATTCTCTTGGAAGCCGCAGGGATACCACCCGTGGGGTGTGCATTCCCATTGGGCGTGTCTGCTTTTTTGAGGGTACCTGTTTTTGGTGGTTTTAAGCGAGCACAATAAGGAAGACGACCATCTTGGGGGTCCGACACACGCAAACCACTTCTGGGATGCAGGCCCCTCGATTCGAGTCGATTCGGTTCGATGTCGCGACAGGACCAGCTGCTGTTTTTGGTGGTGCGCCTGGAGAGGCCGGACCTGGCCCGCGCCAAGGCGGACCTCATCCAGCAGCAGCACCCCGATCTTCTGTTTGTTTCTTTTGTATCCTGGTTGGGCTGGTGAAACCAGGTGTGTTTTCTATCGTATGGTTTGGAGTTGGTGTGAGAGGGTTGTGTGTGTGTGCGTGTCTCTGTGTTTGTGTGCGTGTAAGTGTGTCTGTGTTTGTGTGCGTGTGTGCGTGTGTGTGCGTGTGTGTGTGTGTGTGGGTGCCTGCGTGCGTGCGTGCGTGCGTGTCGTGTCGTGTCGTGTCGTGTCGTGTCGTGTCGTGTCGTGTCGTGTCGTGTCGTGTCGTGTCGTGTCGTGTCGTGTCGGGTCGGGTCGGGTCGGGTCGGGTCGGGT